AGCAATCGCCAACATGATATACGATAGGTGCCATATGAACTGAAACATGAAGTAAACATGTAAATAAAATTCACATATCAGTCATTTCTTTCCTTGCTTTATATCTCCATTATAAGTCAAGATGGCGGACATTGAATTGGCTTCATAATCGCTTCACGACTCTACAGCGTCTAAATACCGAAGGATATAATGAGATAATAAATTCCTTTAGACTTTTTACGCAACCTTTCTTCCTAGTCCGAATAGGCCTATATTAGATTAGTAAACATGCCTGTTAAAAGTGTCCCTTTAAGTTTAATGCCCTAAACCTGTGACGGGTGGGCGAAGATTCTTCTTCTAAGTGCTTTATAATTCTGTACAGGTGATGGATGACAGAAAAAAGCCGCAAAAAGTTCAGCTTGAACTTACCTAACTTTTAGTTGATTATCTTGCAACTTAGCACAATAGTAATAGGCCTATACTTAATATTTAGCGATGTCAGGGGTTTGACCTGAAAAAATGTAAGGCTTAAATAATGACATATCTGGAGTAAATATAAAATTTGTTTTTGTTTGTGTGTATTACTAATTGTCATTTTGATAGGGTTAAGTTACAGAATACTACCTCGAGTGCTCACTACAGCTTGTTATACATTTCAAACGTAACATATTTTCAGATCAAAATACAATCTAAAGTGAAAGAAACACATCTTACTGCATCCTATAAGTATGTTATATAAGTTCATATCGAGTATTACGACACATTTTAACTACGTCATTTTGTAAGACACTGTATGCTTATTTTAAGATATATTAACATAGTATGAAAATTGTATTTTTTTCGGTATTTACGCTTAAAATTATTTTTTCTTAAAAATACAAATTATAAATATCAATAATAAATCGTATTAGCCCCGTTCTCCTTCTGTAGCTCAGCGGGTACAGCGTCTTACACTCCATTTTGTCTTAGTTATTTTTCCCCGCATCACTTCCACCGCATGATTTTAAATCAAATTTATAAACAGGCCCGATTGCATATAAAGAGTGTGATTATATTAAAAATGTTCGTATTTTATTATTGCACATTTTAAAATATCAAATGCATAACTATACACAACTAAAATACGCGATTATAGCCTTGATTATTCGGATGGAATGAACTGTCCAAAGCCGCAATTTTGACAGTTGCGCCCTGGGACTTACACAAACGAGCACGATTCGTCTCGGTGCTGAGACTTTGGTCTCGACTGGCTTAGAATTTGGCTTGATATCCTTAGACAGATAAGCTGTCCTGGACGATTTGATTTCCTTACTGATACGTATGAAGCTCGGATCAAGATTAAGCCGCAGCATAAAACAAGTGGGTGGCTGTTTCTATGCATCCGAGCCGCCCTTAGTTAGCGATCCTCTCTCCTTTCAGCCGCCAGATCGCATGTCTTTTATATTTCCTGTAACTTTTTTTATGGTCACTGCCTCTTGGCTCTGGGGTCACCACACGTTCTACTTTCATCAGGCGCGCACCGTGCAAATTGAAAGTTTAGTTCAATTACAAGTCAGACTCTCCCATCGATCATTAAAATTATATATAATAGTGGCTTTGCAACCATTCCGTGTGCTGTACAATTTAAGAGATCATATTAACTTATTAAAGTACATTTATAGTAAATAAATGGTAATTTACAGCAATCATATATAAAATTTGTAGTAAACCAATGTTTAATTGCCTATTTGTTCGTTTTTTAAAAGAACTGAGCATAGCAAGCGTGACGGAGAAAACGCAGGTTAAGTAAGGTAATTTTAATAATCTCAACGGAATTTTACAATAAAATCACATTTATGCAATAAAATAGTTTTAGTTAAACCGTGGGTATTACGCGTTAATTGCCGGTATCAGACTTTTTAACTTTAAACTAACAAAGAACATATAGGCCTATATGCATACTAGTGATTACTTTTAATAGAAGCCAAACACAATACGTAATAGTTTCATATATTTATGAAAGCTCAAATGATAAAACGGCAACAGTTTTGTCTTGTTTGTTTTTATGCCTTGCTATAGCTGGCCACACAGTCCCTGTGTTCCGCTGCTTTGTGTTTAATGCTCTTTGGGAAGTGCATGGTCCAGGTGCATGGACTCGAGATTAAGTGGCTGGAAGATGGACGGATTGATGAATGGATGGATGGATGGATGGATGGACGGACGCACTGCCGGCCGGGTGGGTAGGTGGATGGCTGTTATTTTTAAAGGTATTTACAACGTCATTAATTTTTTGTTTGAATGTGGAAACATTTGAAAACTCCTTACTACAAATTATGTTATAAGAAAGGTTGTTGCAATTTTTATCATGAACCCATGAAGTCAACGAATACTTAAATCAGTTAAACGTGAATGTCAGCCTAAACTAAATTTTAAAATTCGTTCATCATTTAGGTATAGACACAATAGGATTTCTAACTGGTAATTTGGAAATACATGCAAATATATTTTACAAATGCTTCTTGAAGGTAAAATGAAACGTGAAGTTCAACGAAATCCTGACAACATACTGTCAGTTTTGGTCTTAGTCGGCTTGGTTTAAATTGTGTTAGACTGGAAGCAAGATAAGGCAAATTAGACCTGCACTCGCAGTCTAGTGAAGGCATAGACTCCTGCGGTAGTTTCAGCTAAAACAAACTCGAGGGTAGAGACCAAACGTTTGAGTCAGACTAAGACCTGCTCTTTAGCTCAGTTCCGGGTGATGTCAGGGCAATTAGAGGCGCGACACGGCGCCCAGCGCAGAGCTCGCTGTCATCTCTAATCTCCCAGCTAACGGGCGGCTCCGCATCGCCACGGGAAGCTTAAGCAACTCAATTCATATTTCGGTAACCGAAGTCCTTCACGACAACGACGACGATGATGATGATAATAACAACAACAATAATAATAATAATAATAATAATAATAATAATAATAATAATAATAATGAAACTTTGTAACAATACACTTGACTGGATGGGGCGGGTAGGTCTTCACTGCGATCTGCTTGGTGTTAAATCTGGCGTTTAATCCATCCGGCAAAGCTCGCCGTTGTCGGTTTTACCCCGCCGTGTACCTGAGGGAGAAAGGTGACGCCGAACAAAAAATCAGCCCTTATCTGCAATGTCCAGTAACAGGATGTGTTGAATGCAGCAGACTGGAAATGTCACGGAGGCACGGAGAAGGGACTCTGCCCCGGGCCTGAAGCGACACGGTGACACTCCCGGCCGCTGCATGCGTTTAACAACCGGCGGAGGCCCGTTCTGTTATTCGAAACTTCATATTAAAAGTGAGCGAAGAACTCACTAATCAGAATCAGGTTATACGCCTAGATCAAGTTCTTAAAAACAGATTAGAAAATGTTTTAAAGTGTTCAAAGCAATATTGAAGTTCATGTCGAAAGATTAACCTTATCCTCCAGGTATTTCTCTCTTATTGGGACATAAACATGCCATAAGTAACGGGGGTTTCACAAGGCTTTTACAAGATATATATTTATTGTTTTCACTCGTTGTTGGTAATGCGTTCCCTATCGCAGGCTTAAGTATCACATTCAGAATATTCCGGAAACAAAACTACCCGAGTATGACCTGACAGCTGTATCTATACGTGTATATCATGACTCATTACCTTTACCGGTTGGTCTCTGATGAATAAAAACATTCATTTTAAGCATAACTGCTAAAACATCGCATCTTAAATGAAAACATGAAATATACTGAATTTGTATTACGTAATATTTTTCCTTCTTTTTACTGTGGCAGGAAGAAATACCAAATGTCGTTTTTTCTTATGTTAAATGAAAAAAATTCTTATGTTAAATGAACATTACTATGTTTTACTGAAATCAGAGACAGTTATAGACACTGCCATCTATATATAGGCTATATAGTGAGAAAATGGATGTATGGATGGATGGATGTATGGATGGATGGATGGATGGATGGATGGGTAAATGGGTGAATAGATATTCAGAATATATTGTCAACAACAAAAATATTTATCACTTTTCCTTTGTCGTGGGTCAGTTAATGTAGTTATTGGAAATTTGACAACTGAAACAAATGTGATTATTTATTAATCTATTTGTAAAGCGTGTGTGGGCTGTGGCTGTGGTTTCAAGGAACACATAATATTCTTTGAGAATTAATATGTTTTATGTGATTTCTATGTATGATTTTCTGTATCTATTACAAATAAATAAAAGTCTCTCCAAAAAAAAAAAAAAAACAGTTGAAAATTAATTTTGATTGCAGGGCATATTTCTTAATATCTGTATCTTAACCAGTTTCTTAATTCATAATATAAACATACATTAAACACCTTAGTGATACATTTATGGGAAAATGTGATGAGTTATCATTTAGAATTATACAGAATTATTGCTGCCTATGTCTTTACATTTAAACATCATTATATTCTTTTCTTGAATCTTGAATAGATTTATAGAGCTTATAGAATCTATGTGAAAAAACAACAACAATCAATGATGAATACAGTCTCATAATCGTTAGAATCAGGACAGGGGAAAGCAGAAGGTTCTGTCGACACGGCAACCAAACAATTCATTCTAAGAGAGTGGCTCAGTTACTTGCAGCATATGTTGCTGCTTAGCAACGTATGTGTGGCAATCCCAGAATGCTATGCAGCTAATTATGGACTGTAGCCATGACTGGTAAGACAGTAAAGGGAAATTATTGTCTGCATGTGGTGACTGACGTCCATTGTTAAGGAATCACATGACATCCAAAAAACACACATGCATACACTGGCCAAAATGCAACATTTAAAAATGGTTTTCCTAGTTTCCAAGCATAACAGTCTTGTTAGCAAACTAATAACCTTCTATATGCTGCACTGGTGGAATCTAACCTGTTTGGAATAAGGTAGCTGTTATTTTATTTTTGTTTCTAATATTTTTTGCTAACTTTTAAAAAGTCTTCATAACATTTATGACATTTACAATTAATTTTCCACATGGTGTGATTGAACATTCCTGTCTGCAGAAGGAAGTCAAGTGACCACAGAAGATTTCTTGCTCGAAACTTAGATGGCCTTTCCCAGAAACCTCTCACGCCACAGCACAGAGGTCACGGCACAGTATGCAAGAGACCCAGTGCGGACAGACGGTCGAGGAAAAGAGGAAGACCACATTCCCAGAATCACAGAAATGTGCATCGTCTCTGCACGTAGCAAAGGGTTTTACTATATTTAATAAACACTGACGCAAAGAAAAGAAAAGCTTCTGTCGTATAATGACTCGGTTCTGTCACTAATAAACTCAGAAGAATGTTGGAATCACACATTCAAAGAGACCTGTAAAATGACACAAATTTATTTGCATTCCAAAAACAGACAGGAACTATTTATCATTGTTTAGTTTCTAATTTGTTTTCTTTTTTCATGACAGATGATATATCCTGATAAGCTGGCTGATTTCAGTCTGAGTCACACAAATATGCAATTATTTTAAACATGGCGGAGGAATAGCTTCTGTTTCCATTAACTCTGGTGCATTTTTCACATTTAAATTCATTTAAAACATGGTGTAACTTAATAAATATATTACAATGAATGAGCGTAATAAAAGTTTCATTTTTTCATTTGTCGGGTTGCTTTTTTGGTGAAATGGTTGTTTTTGCTGGCTTTTGATGTGCCAAAGTGTCTTAGCGCTGCGTCGCATGAAATGACGTGGCTGCGTGGGCAGGTCAGACACCTGGGGGAGGCCTGCAGGCGCGGCAGGCCGGCACGCCGCAACCCTCACCAAAGCCTTCACGTGTGTGGATTACTGCGGCCGGCTCCACGCTCCCTGTGCCGGGCAGTGAGGTAAGTATCCCAAGGAGAGTCCCCGCCCACCGCGATGCCCCTCACCTCCACGCCAATGCCTTGTTCTCCTCCTCACACTGATATCAGAGCTTTGTTTCATTTACCCAGTCAGTCAGAGTTACCTTTTCCCTCCCCCGATCTGATTATTCTTTGTGACAGACGACACAAGGCCCCTCCCATCTGAGGTTGCTCAGCCTCCCTGTCAAATCCACTGGATCCCATTCACTGTAATTGTAAGACCGTCTGATCTTCCGGTGTCATACTGTCTGGTAAGTTTGCTTTGCTGCCCTCCCCATCCATCCCCTCCCTGGGCTGTTATCACCTGTGCATGCAAGGGGCTGAGAGAGAGAATTGGGGGGAGGGTTCCCCTCTTTAGCACACCTTTTCAGAACTTTCGGCCAGCTGCTCGAACAAGCGGCAACAGGCTTGTAAATGCAATAGGTAATAGTAATAATAATAATAATAATAATAATAATAATAATAATAATAATAATAATCAAAACAACAACAATAATAATAAAAATAACAATATGATAATAATAATAATAATAATAATAATAATAATGTCTGCAGTCATTGTTGCATGCTAAAAGGAATGAAAACAAAAAGTCAACTTAATTTTCATCATTATTATGTTATTATTCCCTTACATACTTTTCAAATCATGTTTCATTACATTCATAGACGTTTCAGTGATATAAAGCGTACTCAGTACACATCACAATTAAAATGCGTGTGCTGTTTTTTTAATGTCAAAAATGTTCAACTATCTTTACAAATATATGGATTATTCGCATGTTAACTTTCCGGATAAAGGGTGCATAGCAGCACATGCAGATGCCATAGAGCAAAACACATAGGTGCTGGGGTATAATGAAAGAAACACGGACCGTGCTTATTAATGTAGCATATTTTTTGTTGGTAATAAGATTAAATTCCTTTATTGTTAGTGTACAGCATATAACAAAAATTTTTGCAGCAGCTCAAATGGTGCATTCACACATAACAAGAAATTAAAAATGTAAACTGAGGTATAACTACAGTGCAGCGTAGAAGAAAAATTGACGCATGAACAATCTTGGACATAAGGCACGCAGGATGTAACTTAATAACACTGTGTACAGGCATGAAATACCATAAATAGTACAAGATGCAGCAAATGCAATCACCAGTGCAGTTAATGCAGATAAAGTTGAGTTGGTTGTGAACACTTACAGTGTTGTTCAATAGTGACTGTAGTTACAAAATTGCATGAAGGTTGAGTTGCGGTGCCTATAATCAAACGCTAGACGATCACTGCATGACTGCTGCGTCGCACCCGTACAGTATTCATGGCCTTTGGGCCATGAGCACATTCTCCCCCGTCCCCTGCGCGAGTGGCAGGGCGCTAATACCTCTGCAGCCCCTCTGTCCGTGCCAGCGGGCCTTACCACGTCTGAGTTTACGGCAGGAGGTACCTCTGCGAGATACCGCGCTCTGAGCCGCGACCAGGTCAGAGCTGAAAGCCGTCACTCTGAGCTCTCCCAGGACGTGCTTTTGTTTAAAGGTAATTATGTGTTTTTTTGGATCAAACGCTATATTAAAAGACAAACCCACACACATTTATTTACTAATAGATCACATGGTCTTTTTCGCCGTACTTGATCCTGTTTGTTTATCTGTTATTTATTTGGTACATTACTGGAGCAAAATTCTGGCCGTATTAAGTCATGAGTCACACAGTAGGGTTACTAGACTGGTCCTGGTCATTTTGGAAGCCTTATTAAGAGGTCAGTAGATAATATTATTTTGAGCACATGTCTGGCCATTTGGTGGCATCAAACTCAGCCAAGAACGTGTCTCTCTTCTGAAGTACTTTTTTTTTTTGTCATTTGCCTGTCATGCCTGTCTGTCACATGTGTTTTACAGTCTGGCCTCTCGGCAAGGCTGTATGCTGATAGAAAGGATACCAGCCTGTGCAGGGTGCACTTTTTAGAGAGTGCAAAACTAACATAATGAATAGTTATCCATCATCAATACTGTTTTCTGCTATATGGTTGCAGTAAGCTTGTTCTGCATCTCAGGACACACAGAACATGAGAGAAAATAAATAGATTAATAAATAGCTTGTGAATAAAATAACTCATAAATCGATAAATATCTGACACAGGAACAGCAATCCTCCGTACAAATTGTTTGATGTGTGTGAGTTCTCAGTAAATCTAAAACGCTGTAGCAACAATCTCGTGTGTTTATTTTCTTCCTGGTGCACAAGTGTGCCATTACTGAAGAGGCTAATCAGGAGCTTAATCAATGTTAGGGTTGCCAACACATTATGGTAGAATTTTATTCATGAGGCTTTTAAGGTTTATTCTCAGTATCGGCGTAGGGAAAAATAATTTAAAAAAAGTCTTCTGAGGCACTGACTTGATATTGATTCTGATTTTAACTATCCTCAAGTGTTACCTAATTGATTGTGATTACTGTCATTGTGATCTAGGGAATCCAGTCAGCTTCAAATATGCATCAATTTTGCGGCAAAAGAAAGGAAAATACGTTTTGAAGAGGTACAAAGAGCCACATCACTGTCAACAACAAAAGTCATATCTGAAAATTTGATCGTTTTAAATTTAAGGAATCCTATTTTCAATACACGTGTCAGACAGAAAAACAACTGTTTTATGCCTTCAGGAATTCAGGAATCTAAAAATAAGCATTTACAGATCCAGTAACTGAGCAAGAAAATGTACAAAAGTGCTAAGAGCCAGAGCTACATTTGTAAATGAGTTTTAGGAATCTATACTTTTTAGAGATAAAAGTTTTGGTGTGTCAGTTTTGTATTTTATATAAACCACCCCCCACCGCCATAACTCTGGGTCGCTTTAATACAGCAGCAAACCATTGATCTGGGGGCTTTTACTGCACACCTATAACAATATCAGACTCTTTCCCAAGATGTCAGATGATAGCGGCTCAGATTCTCCCAGAAAGCACTGCTGCACGGCATGCGAAACAAAACCGCCCCATCGGCCCAACCTACTATCTGAAGGTCACACGAGAGCCCGATTCAGATGCCCAGTGCTTGTGACAAGCCGTGAGCCCGTGACATGAACACACCCGCCCCCCTTCTTGTTCTCTCACACGAATGTGTCCAAAAAAAGTCCGGGGGGGGGAGGCGTTGTGAACCCATAGCGAAAAAAAAACCTCCCCGGACGGCAAATGGAAGAGCCCGGCTGACCGGCCGCTGTAAATCAGACGCACGGAGACGTCAGCAGTAGCTTGTACCTGATGTCCGAGAATCAGAGCTCCGGTTGCCCCCCCCCACTCCCTCCACCCATCGCCGATAAAGAGCTACATTTGAATTCTGACAAAGATTGGGGTTCAATCCGATCCGATATGGCCGCCTGGGCTCCTCCATACGTTTGACCGTTGCTTTTAATGAATAGGACCATTCCTGTCACTCCATTGTGGCCGTTCAGGTCCCTCTAGCTCCGGGGCTTTTGTTTCATCGGCAGTTGTCATTGGTCGGAATTTCAATGGTAAACACTCTAAGCCCGCTAGCTCGACTGACATGTTTTTGTTTTCCCCCCCCCCGTCCACATGAATGGGGTAGCTTCTGTTTTTTGTTTTTTTTTTTTTTTATCCGTCCAAACACAGTCTGAAAGGAGGCCCTCACAAAGGCTCATCGTTGGGCCCAGATTGGGTTTTAAGTAATAGCACATCCAGAGACAAACCGGCCNCCCCCCCCCCCCCCCCCACCTCGTGCATTAGCTGGGTGTGCGATTAAGCAAATCGTAAGGTGAGCCGAGGTTCAGACGGCCCGCATGAAAGCCCGTAAGTGCTGTGGCCGGCATGGAGACTTTCCAGATGCCGTGTTCCTGTGCGCGCAAAATATCACCAGATTCCGTATCGTCACTGCTGTAAAAAGATAAATAAAACGTAAAAAGATCTATTTTTCTAGGAGGCAGTGTACGTGAATTCGGCTTGAGGGAACGGTGGATATGTACTTCACGACGCAGATGGGACGAGGCTGTTATCGATGTGGTACATGGCTATCGATCTGCGAATATTTCAGCGTTACACCCTCAGACAGTCAGCCAGCTCGCATATTAACCGAGCGAAACTTTCATAACGAGAAAACCCTGCAATCCACATCACAGTTTCCTCACATTAATTAAAAAAAAGGTACCATTTGCTTTCAACGGGCATATTTTTACACCTCCGCCCCACAAACCAGGATGTTAGAAATGCTGTTGGCTCACACCAGCAATGTCACTAACAGACTGGAACGTCAGTAAAATTTAATGTCATACCCACTCCCCCCCCCCACCCCCCCACCCGGAAACACAGGGGTGGAGATTAACAGCACGCAGAACGTAGGCAAAATGATGTAACATAGTCTTTCATGCCAGAGCAATGCGAGAGGTTTTTCCTGTCCATTTCCATGTGTGTTTGTGTGTGTGTGTGTGTGTGTGTGTGTGTCTGTGTGTGTGCGCGCGCGCGAGTGTTCGTCACCTGTCCTGTCGGATAATCTCTGACAAGGCTGTCATCACAACGGCAGGGGAGGCCGGTCCGCATGAGGCCCTGGCCGAAAGTGCCTCTTATCTGTGTGTGTACTCTCTGCGGGGCCGGACAATGAGGCCCCATTTGCACATGAATGCGGGGGTGGGGGGGGGCTACCCCTACGGCGAGCACCCCACACTGTTCCCTCTTTCTTGCCCCGGAGAAAGTGCTGAGACAGTCCCAGGCGGCGTCTATCTGGACACTACACAGCACAGCCCCCTGGATAAAACCGTGA